GCCTTAAATCATGTGCTACAAGATGTAGCCTTAAATCAAGCTGAAACACGAAATGTTGTGCCGAGAGAGGCGAGCAATCAATTTGTGCGTCGTCCTGCCTGCACTCTCTCCCCAAATTGGTTAATACGGCGACCCTCCCGGGGGAGGAGACGCCATACTGGGGGAGGGGAGGGATTCGCCCCTTCTACCTCGACGATTACTTGAAGAATAGAGGAGTTAAAAATATCGTACAATTGACGGTATCGATGCCAATTTCAGCACATCGCACGATTGTATCGAATCAAGCTTAGAAACTTGTTATGCATGATACAGTCAAGCTTAGAAACTTGTTATACATGATACAGTCAAGCTTAGAAACTTGTTATATATGATACAATCAAGCTTAGAAACTTTATATACATGATACAATCAAGCTTAGAAACTTGTTATACATGATACAATCTACCTTTGAAACTTGGCAAAACATTAGACATCGAGATGCTCCAAAGCTGGGCTAAAATATCGATACTGACCGTACAAGACTAATTGCAGCGATGTTTGTCGTATTCGATTACTGCGGAAAGTATCGTTTCTCTAATCGCCTGGAGACCCAATGAAGCAACCACCCAATTCAGATAATCCGATTACAAGTACGAACTGGAGACGAGACGTCTGAAGACTATCAGAGGTACTGTGGGGGGGGGGTGCTGGGGGAGGGGGAGGTGCTGGTGGAGGGGAGGGGGAGGTGCTGGTGGACGGGGGGGACGACGGAGCTTGAAATTTGTCCAGGCTGTCATGACCGAAAATGTGGCGATGTGTTACACAAGGGAAATCTGCTGGGGTGGGTCAGTTGTTAGGTCAGTTGTTAGGTCAATTGTTTGGTCAGTTGTTAGGTCAGTTGTTAGGTCAGTTGTTTGGTCAGTTGTTTGGTCAGTTGTTTGGTCAGTTGTTAGGTCAGTTATTAGTTCAATTGTTTCAATAATCTATCTATATATATAATTCTCTTCTGGGATCAGTTAGAAAACAAGCTGCAAGCGCCTCCTTGCAGTCCCCTCTCTTTCTCTCTATCACTATCACTACCACCCCCCACCCCACCCCAACATTGTCTGGTGAGCGGTGTTCACTCTAAATTTTTACAAAGCTAAATGTTTACAAATCATAGAGCCGGGTTTCTATTAGGGGCAGATAATTTAGTTCGATTTTTAACTTACAGGAGGTAACTAAGAAATAACTAAGAGGAGGTTGCTTTCACGGGGGGGGGGGGGGGGGGGGGGGGGGGTGTAGGGTCGGTGTTAGGGGAAAGTGGGGGGGGTTAGTGTTTTAAAGCAAATATTTTCAGTGGCAGCATTGGTACTGTCGAATTTACAAATTATGAATTACTGAAAAGTAGAAAATAAAACAACTAAATAGCGGCGTATGATACGCTGCGGGTCGGCTCGTTAGTCTATATTCCTACAATGGTTGGCCTTTCACCATTTTCCAAATTCTAGTTGTGTAAATATATTTGAGTATATATATATATGTATGTGTGTAAATATTTGTTTAGTACATATGTATGTGTGTAAATATCTGTGTAGTACATATGTATGTGCATAAATATCTGTGTAGTACATACGTATGTGTGTAAATATATGTATTAAAGAATGCGACATTAAGAATTATTTTATAATATAAACGTGTAAACAAATACACATACACCGGCAAACATATAGTCATACACACACACATGCTGCCCTATAGGTCCACCCCCCCCCTACCCCTATAGAAAAAAACGAGATGACGTTTCGGTGTTTCCCGGTCCCCTGAATGTCCCCGTGAATGACGAGCCGGAAGTGGCCGACGCGCATGTCAAAGATGGGGGCGGTGGCTGAGGAAAATGTACCCACTACGGAGCGGGCGAAAACGAAATACTTTACCAAGTGAATACTTTACCAAGAAAATACTCTACCAAGAAAATACTTTACCAAGAAAATGCTTTACCAAGAAAATACTTTATCAAGAAAATACTCTACCAAGAAAATACTTTACCAAGAAAATACTTTACCAAGAAAATACTTTACCAAGAAAATACTTTACCAAGAAAATACTTTACCAAGAAAATACTTTACCAAGAAAATACTTTACCAAGAAAATACTTCACCAAGAAAATGTTTTACCAGGAATAAACTTTACGATGCCATATTGATCTATGATTTACCCTGTTGCCCCATCCTGTCATGATTTGCCCCATCCTGTCATGATTTGCCCCATCATGATTTGCCCTGTTGTTTCAGTGTGTCATGATTTGCCCTGTTGTTTCAGTGTGTCATGATTTGCCCTGTTGTTTCAGTGTGTCATGATTTGCCCCATTCTTTCAGTGTGTCATGATTTGCCCTGTTGTTTCAGTGTGTCATGATTTGCCCCATCATGATTTGCCCTGTTGTTTCAGTGTGTCATGATTTGCCCTGTTGTTTCAGTGTGTCATGATTTGCCCATCATGATTTGCCCTGTTGTTTCAGTGTGTCATGATTTGCCTTGTTGTTTCAGTGTGTCATGATTTGCCCATCATGATTTGCCCTGTTGTTTCAGTGTGTCATGATTTGCCCTGTTGTTTCAGTGTGTCATGATTTGCCCTGTTGTTTCAGTGTGTCATGATTTGCCCTGTTGTTTCAGTGTGTCATGATTTGCCCTGTTGTTTCAGTGTGTCATGATTTGCCCATCATGATTTGCCCTGTTGTTTCAGTGTGTCATGATTTGCCCTGTTGTTTCAGTGTGTCATGATTTGCCCATCATGATTTGCCCTGTTGTTTCAGTGTGTCATGATTTGCCCTGTTGTTTCAGTGTGTCATGATTTGCCCTGTTGTTTCAGTGTGTCATGATTTGCCCTGTTGTTTCAGTGTGTCATGATTTGCCCTGTTGTTTCAGTGTGTCATGATTTGCCCTGTTGTTTCAGTGTGTCATGATTTGCCCTGTTGTTTCAGTGTGTCATGATTTGCCCCATTGTTTCAGTGTGTCATGATTTGCCCTGTTGTTTCAGTGTGTCATGATTTGCCCCATCATGATTTGCCCTGTTGTTTCAGTGTGTCATGATTTGCCCTGTTGTTTCAGTGTGTCATGATTTGCCCATCATGATTTGCCCTGTTGTTTCAGTGTGTCATGATTTGCCCTGTTGTTTCAGTGTGTCATGATTTGCCCATCATGATTTGCCCTGTTGTTTCAGTGTGTCATGATTTGCCCTGTTGTTTCAGTGTGTCATGATTTGCCCTGTTGTTTCAGTGTGTCATGATTTGCCCTGTTGTTTCAGTGTGTCATGATTTGCCCTGTTGTTTCAGTGTGTCATGATTTGCCCTGTTGTTTCAGTGTGTCATGATTTGCCCTGTTGTTTCAGTGTGTCATGATTTGCCCCGTTGTTTCAGTGTGTCATGATTTGCCCTGTTGTTTCAGTGTGTCATGATTTGCCCCATCATGATTTGCCCTGTTGTTTCAGTGTGTCATGATTTGCCCTGTTGTTTCAGTGTGTCATGATTTGCCCCATCATGATTTGCCCTGTTGTTTCAGTGTGTCATGATTTGCCCTGTTGTTTCAGTGTGTCATGATTTGCCCTGTTGTTTCAGTGTGTCATGATTTGCCCTGTTGTTTCAGTGTGTCATGATTTGCCCTGTTGTTTCAGTGTGTCATGATTTGCCCTGTTGTTTCAGTGTGTCATGATTTGCCCTGTTGTTTCAGTGTGTCATGATTTGCCCTGTTGTTTCAGTGTGTCATGATTTGCCCTGTTGTTTCAGTGTGTCATGATTTGCCCTGTTGTTTCAGTGTGTCATGATTTGCCCTGTTGTTTCAGTGTGTCATGATTTGCCCTGTTGTTTCAGTGTGTCATGATTTGCCCTGTTGTTTCAGTGTGTCATGATTTGCCCTGTTGTTTCAGTGTGTCATGATTTGCCCTGTTGTTTCAGTGTGTCATGATTTGCCCTGTTGTTTCAGTGTGTCATGATTTGCCCTGTTGTTTCAGTGTGTCATGATTTGCCCTGTTGTTTCAGTGTGTCATGATTTGCCCTGTTGTTTCAGTGTGTCATGATTTGCCCTGTTGTTTCAGTGTGTCATGATTTGCCCTGTTGTTTCAGTGTGTCATGATTTGCCCTGTTGTTTCAGTGTGTCATGATTTGCCCTGTTGTTTCAGTGTGTCATGATTTGCCCTGTTGTTTCAGTGTGTCATGATTTGCCCTGTTGTTTCAGTGTGTCATGATTTGCCCTGTTGTTTCAGTGTGTCATGATTTGCCCTGTTGTTTCAGTGTGTCATGATTTGCCCTGTTGTTTCAGTGTGTCATGATTTGCCCTGTTGTTTCAGTGTGTCATGATTTGCCCTGTTGTTTCAGTGTGTCATGATTTGCCCTGTTGTTTCAGTGTGTCATGATTTGCCCTGTTGTTTCAGTGTGTCATGATTTGCCCTGTTGTTTCAGTGTGTCATGATTTGCCCTGTTGTTTCAGTGTGTCATGATTTGCCCTGTTGTTTCAGTGTGTCATGATTTGCCCTGTTGTTTCAGTGTGTCATGATTTGCCCTGTTGTTTCAGTGTGTCATGATTTGCCCTGTTGTTTCAGTGTGTCATGATTTGCCCTGTTGTTTCAGTGTGTCATGATTTGCCCTGTTGTTTCAGTGTGTCATGATTTGCCCTGTTGTTTCAGTGTGTCATGATTTGCCCTGTTGTTTCAGTGTGTCATGATTTGCCCTGTTGTTTCAGTGTGTCATGATTTGCCCTGTTGTTTCAGTGTGTCATGATTTGCCCTGTTGTTTCAGTGTGTCATGATTTGCCCTGTTGTTTCAGTGTGTCATGATTTGCCCCGTTGCCCCATCATGTCATGATTTGCCCTGTTGTTTCAGTGTGTCATGATTTGCCCTGTTGTTTCAGTGTGTCATGATTTGCCCTGTTGTTTCAGTGTGTCATGATTTGCCCTGTTGTTTCAGTGTGTCATGATTTGCCCTGTTGTTTCAGTGTGTCATGATTTGCCCTGTTGCCCCATCATGTCATGATTTGCCCTGTTGTTTCAGTGTGTCTCCTGATGTCCCAAGGTGTGTTTGCTATTGTGGGCCAGAAGTCCATGGAGTCTGCTGACATCGTCAAGGCTCTCTCCGCCACCTTCCACATGCCCTTCATCAGCACCACGCTCTCTAGTTCCTCTATCAGGGGCGACCCCTCCCCGTGAGTATTGGGCTTTGGGTTGGGCTACATTTATATGTCAGTTTGTATGGTGTCCTTTATGTTCTCCATACGGTGCAAAAGGTCAGTCTGTATGTTTACCTCTCTGTTCTACATACGGGGTTAAAGGTCAGTCTGTTTGTTACCTCTCTGTTCTACATACGGGGTTAAAGGTCAGTCTGTATGTTTACCTCTCTGTTCTACATACGGGGTTAAAGGTCAGTCTGTATGTTTACCTCTCTGTTCTACATACGGGGTTAAAGGTCAGTCTGTATGTTTACCTCTCTGTTCTACATACGGGGTTAAAGGTCAGTCTGTATGTTTACCTCTCTGTTCTACATACGGGGTTAAAGGTCAGTCTGTATGTTTACCTCTCTGTTCTACATACGGGGTTAAAGGTCAGTCTGTATGTTTACCTCTCTGTTCTACATACGGTGCTAAAGGTCAGTCTGTATGTTTACCTCTCTGTTCTACATACGGGGTTAAAGGTCAGTCTGTATGTTTACCTCTCTGTTCTACATACGGGGTTAAAGGTCAGTCTGTATGTTTACCTCTCTGTTCTACATACGGGGTTAAAGGTCAGTCTGTATGTTTACCTCTCTGTTCTACATACGGGGTTAAAGGTCAGTCTGTATGTTTACCTCTCTGTTCTACATACGGTGCTAAAGGTCAGTCTGTATGTTTACCTCTCTGTTCTACATACGGGGTTAAAGGTCAGTCTGTATGTTTACCTCTCTGTTCTACATACGGGGTTAAAGGTCAGTCTGTATGTTTACCTCTCTGTTCTACATACGGTGCTAAAGGTCAGTCTGTATGTTTACCTCTCTGTTCTACATACGGTGCTAAAGGTCAGTCTGTATGTTTACCTCTCTGTTCTACATACGGGGTTAAAGGTCAGTCTGTATGTTTACCTCTCTGTTCTACATACGGGGTTAAAGGTCAGTCTGTATGTTTACCTCTCTGTTCTACATACGGTGCTAAAGGTCAGTCTGTATGTTTACCTCTCTGTTCTACATACGGTGCTAAAGGTCAGTCTGTATGTTTACCTCTCTGTTCTACATACGGGGTTAAAGGTCAGTCTGTATGTTTACCTCTCTGTTCTACATACGGGGTTAAAGGTCAGTCTGTATGTTTACCTCTCTGTTCTACATACGGGGTTAAAGGTCAGTCTGTATGTTTACCTCTCTGTTCTACATACGGGGTTAAAGGTCAGTCTGTATGTTTACCTCTCTGTTCTACATACGGGGTTAAAGGTCAGTCTGTATGTTTACCTCTCTGTTCTACATACGGGGTTAAAGGTCAGTCTGTATGTTTACCTCTCTGTTCTACATACGGGGTTAAAGGTCAGTCTGTATGTTACCTCTCTGTTCTACATACGGGGTTAAAGGTCAGTCTGTATGTTTACCTCTCTGTTCTACATACGGGGTTAAAGGTCAGTCTGTATGTTTACCTCTCTGTTCTACATACGGGGTTAAAGGTCAGTCTGTATGTTTACCTCTCTGTTCCAGCTACGAGTTCCACCTGCGGCCCGACACGACGCGCGCCATCATTGACCTCATCGCCTACCTGGGCTGGCGTCACGTCAACTTCCTGTTTGACTCGGATGAAGGTTGGTCGTTAAACCTACCCCTAGGTCCCGTTAAACCTAACCCGATAATATATAACCCTAACTCTAACCCTAATCTTAACCCTTACTCTTACCCTAACTCTAACCCTAATCTTAACCATAACCTTAACCCTTACTCTAACCTTAACTCTAACCCTAACCCTAAATCTAACTCTAATCATATATTCATTCAATATTTTATTATCTGGACGATAAGACCGTTCCCAATATATGTTTAACTCCATGATGAGACCTTTCCTATTAAATACTTAGCTCCACGATTAGACCTTTCCTATTAAATACTTAGCTCCACGATTAGACCTTTCCCAGCAGACATTAAGCTCCTGGCTCAAATTAAGCTCCGATGGTTGTAAAGAAAAAAGTTGGTTTCAAATTTTGTTTTCAAATTTCATTTCAACTCTCATATTTCACAAACGTCAAACATCTCCCGAAACAGCTCGTGATTATTTTAATTCTTTTTTACAAAAAAAAAATCATGAACTTGAAGAATGGAAAAAAATATTTTTAAAAATGATTGTGTTGTGCAAATTATTTTGTTGATTAAAACTAGAAAAATTTTGTAACATTGCCCGAAATTTTATTTTTATGCGCCTGTCAAACGTGGAGAGAAATTAAATTCAAGCAACGGAGTACAGGATAACGGCAAACTAAGAATTTTTAATTGCATTGTGAAAATATATCATAGCGTTAGTACCTGGCTTAATGTTTCGCTCAGTGTAGTATCACATACATAACACATCAGTTGGTGTAGTGTATGTACATACATAACACATCAGTTGGTGTAGTATATGTACACATACATAACACAACAGCTGGCGTGCTTTAATGACCACAGAACATGGTAGTAAACTATTTTTTATCGACTGGATGTTGCCTAAAGGCCGACTGCCTAAAATGCCGACAGCCAAATGACCGACAGCCAAAAGGCCGACAAGGGCAAAAAGCTGCTAGCACAGAAGTCCGACACCCGTTTTAACGGATGTGAACACAGCTCTCAAAATGTGATCATTGTAACGTACCGTCGTGTCGTTTTTCTTTTTATTTGTACACAATCAAGGGATGGACAAATAACTGGCCAAACTTTTTAATTGCCAGTTTGTCTGGGTGTGACAGCACAAGTGAAGATGGTGCTGGCTTAACCTTTCACCTTATTTAAAGTACTTGGTAATCATGTTAGGTCAAAGGTCATGTTGATTATTGAGCTGACAGGTCTCTGTGTGACGTGTAGGTCTCCAGCGACTCCACAACATGTACCGGCTGAGAAACGCGGACCTCCACTACTACTCCATGGTCCGGCTCAAAGACCTGACGGACGTACACGACGAGCTGAAGATGATTGACAAGATGGACAGCTCCAGCGAGTTCAAGGGCATCGTCCTTGACCTCTCATCGGAAGAAGCTTATAAAACTGTCTTAAGACAGGTGAGTTGACCGCTGCTGGGAGTGTGACCTCGTTAGTTCAAGAGCAGGTGTCTTAAACCCGTCGTTTGTGGTACGGGTAATCCACAGATTATCCACCAGGTAATCTTGAGATTATCCACCAGGTAATCCACAGATTATCCACCAGGTAATCCACAGATTATCCACCAGGTAATCTTGAGATTATCCACCAGGTAATCCACAGATTATCCACCAGGTAATCCACAGATTATCCACCAGGCAATCAGCTCATGATGCAACCAAACAGCCACCTTTTGTATTGCCAGGAACAACTTCTTTCTTGGGCAACAATCCTAACACAACCCTAACTCTAACACAAACTCTAAACCAAATCCTAACTCTAACATAAACCCTAACCCAAATCCTAACTCTAACACAAAATCTTACTCTTACATAAACCCTAACACAAACTCTAACTCTAAACCAAACACAAACTTTACGCAAACCCTAACTCTTTCAGCATGTAATTTTGTATTTTCTTAACTGTTGACTGTCTTAACTGTTGACTGTCTTAACTGTTGACTGTCTTAACAGTGTCATAAATCTTTTGACGACTGCTAGACTAGAACATGATACAAAACCTTGTGTACTGTGGACCTTGTGTACTGTGGATTATTGCTGAAGCGACTTGGCCCTGCCGGTTGTGTGCCTGGTTGAAGCGAGAGGGTTGGCTGTGCTGTACAGCGGGTTGTGTGCCTGGTTGAAGCGAGAGGGTTGGCTGTGCTGTACAGCGGGTTGTGTGCCTGGTTGAAGCGAGAGGGTTGGCTGTGCTGTACAGCGGGTTGTGTGCCTGGTTGAAGCGAGAGGGTTGGCTGTGCTGTACAACCCGCACGCCACAAAAACGGAGCGCCGTCAGTAATGGAGGTCCGAGTTGAGTGCTATAAAAACACGCCAGGACGGGCCGGTGGAAATTGGTGCTGGGGGACAGCTCTCAACTTGGGCTAGAGAGGGCTGAAATTTAAGAAAGTCACGTTTTTTCTGTCACTTTTTTATGTCTTGACAAAATGCAACGTCACAAAGATGTTTCTACTAAAGGAAGACTGGTATCAAGTCAATTGTTGACAACCCAATCCCTCCTATTGACAGCCCAATCACTTCTATTGACAGCTCTATCCCTTCTATTGACAACCCAATCCCTTCTATTGACAGCCCAATCACTTCTATTGACAACCCAATCCCTTCTATTGACAACCCAATCCCTTCTATTGACAACCCAATCCCTTCTATTGACAACCCAATCCCTTCTATTGACAACCCAATCCCTTCTATTGACAACCCAATCCCTTCTATTGACAACCCAATCCCTTCTATTGACAACCCAATCCCTTCTATTGACAACCCAATCCCTTCTATTGACAGCCCAATCACTTCTATTGACAACCCAATCCCTTCTATTGACAACCCAATCCCTTCTATTGACAACCCAATCACTTCTATTGACAGCCCAATCACTTCTATTGACAACCCAATCCCTTCTATTGACAACCCAATCCCTTCTATTGACAACCCAATCCCTTCTCTTGACAACCCAATCCCTTCTATTGACAACCCAATCCCTTCTATTGACAACCCAATCCCTTCTATTGACAACCCAATCCCTTCTATTGACAACCCAATCCCTTCTATTGACAGCCCAATCCCTTCTATTGACAACCCAATCCCTTCTATTGACAACCCAATCCCTTCTATTGACAACCCAATCCCTTCTATTGACAACCCAATCCCTTCTATTGACAACCCAATCCCTTCTATTGACAACCCAATCCCTTCTATTGACAACCCAATCCCTTCTATTGACAACCCAATCCCTTCTATTGACAACCCAATCCCTTCTATTGACAACCCAATCCCTTCTATTGACAACCCAATCCCTTCTATTGACAACCCAATCCCTTCTATTGACAACCCAATCCCTTCTATTGACAACCCAATCCCTTCTATTGACAACCCAATCCCTTCTATTGACAACCCAATCCCTTCTATTGACAACCCAATCCCTTCTATTGACAACCCAATCCCTCCTATTGACAACCCAATCCCTCCTATTGACAGCTCAATCCCTTTTGTAGACTACCCCTCCTAAATTTTCATTTTCGCTAAAACACAAATTATGAAAAGACTTTTTTTTAGTTTCATAAAAAAAAGTATTTGTATAATTATAAAAGAATTATATAAGAAAAAATGTATATAACTATAAGAAAAGAATGTATGTAATTGAAGACCTCAGTGCTAAAAGTACTTAAGTCACAAAATACCCATTTTGAGATAACAGGGTTTGAAATTTCAAACTGACCCTGAAATCAGGCAATAAAGATAAATCCACTTTTATTGATTTGGTTTATTATATACATGTGTAATGAATGTGTATGGGCAAATTTAGCTGAAAAGCCATGAAATATTATGAGATAATGACTTATTTGTTTTTTGACTTAAGTACTTTTTGTCCAAATTGAGTACTTAGGTACTTTTTGCACCAAATTTCAGCATTGGACTTAAGTACTTTTTCAAGAAAATATTTTTTTAAAAAGTGATTTTGTAGCTATCAGTTGTACTTCTTACAGAATGAGGTTAGTAACACCATGTTTTATAGTCTTTAGTATGTTTTATAATAAATTTTCACAAAGTAACAAAATAAATCATCTAAATTTTAACATTATTTTATTAAAATACTGTACACAAAAACAAAATCACTATTCCACAGATTCAGAGTCACTGCTATCCTCAGCTGTATCTCTACCTCTGATATTATCATAAAATGTTGCTTCAGCTGGTATGCTGACATGTTTTAAAAGTTCCTTGATATCATTCACTTTCGCTGTCTTTACAGGCAGGAAATTAATGAATGCCCTATTTGGCTTAATGGTCAAAAGGGTAGAGAGTTTTTTCCCCCTTTTGAATGTTGGCACCAAATCTGTACAGTCAGATGTCATTGAATTCCTGCTTAGAGGCTCCTTGCCCCTTTCAAACTTGGCCCCTCTAAACTCACTGATGCCAGTGATAGGCTTTAAAAGGGGGTCAAAAGCTTTTTTATAATCAAGGACTTTAACAATAGGAGTCCCATCATCCATCATGTTATCCGTGAGGGGATGTTCTACATAAACAACATCAAAAGGACTTTGTACATCTGTATGCTTAATGAGGGAAACCCATTGAGAAGGGAGAATCACCCTGTCAGTTTTACGCCTGCGCTTTTCAATGCGCCCAAAATCTCGATCGCATGGCATTCGGCTATGTCCCGGAAGGGGATAGTTTAAATAAACTGTTGTCAGGTAGGGACTTTTATTCACAATGCCCTGTAGATAGCCAAAAATGTAACGATTCTTGTTCTGGGAGAAGCAGTTGTCCACAAACAGGACAAGCTTAGATATTGACCTATCCAGTGTAGAAATATAATGGTCAAGGCAAGATATAACCTCATTAGGACCCTTGGCTGCAAAATGCTCTGCATAAAGATACATTTTTGCTGAGTTATTAACATTATCATGGATGCATAAATTATGGATCCACAGTTGGCGTTTGTAATATTCTTGCCCAATGCCAGTTAGAGGTAGGGGCAGGTTTTTTTCAAAATCCATGCAGATCACTGCAGTGTCTTGAGTTACCTTTGCAGCTGAAGTGGCCTCAGTTATTTGTACATTAAACACATCAGCTTTCCTGATGTGGAGCTCATGCTGCATTTTCAGGTCTTTAAGTAAAACACTGTTATTGGCTATTTCAGCAGCCTTTATGTCCGCTACAAATCTCTCACATCTGTCGCATATGTCAGAGCGAGGAAATCCGAATTTAATGTTGAACTCATAGTTGAAAATGTCATGATACAACCAGTATTTGATTGTATCCTGCAGATCAGGATTTTCTTGAATAAATAATCTGTGCATTTCAGCAACTGTCAGTGAGGCATCAAGGTATTTCTTGTGCATATTCTTTGATCTGCTATAGTGGCTTTCACGAGCAGGAAACATTCTAGTGTGGTCACAAACCCGCTTTCGAATTTCTTCATCAATCTTTTTATGATTGCCATGTTTACCACGTCCATCCGCTATACTGACAGAAAAGTTAAGGACTTTTCTTTTTAATCTCGAATCTTTTATGCCGTGCAATCCAAGAAAAGCTCCTTTGCAAATTAAGATGGTTTGTTCCTGGACAGTTACAGAATAAGAAAAGCTGCTTCGCTCCTTAGCATCTTCTTTTCTTGGCCTTCGACGTATTACTGTGTCAGGATTTACACTAATGCATCCACGTAGATAAACATTTTGCGCCTCATGGTCCTTCAATGAAGTAAATTCTGTGAAAATTCTTTTCCTCTCCACTTCGGTTAGTTTTGTCAGGCATTTGCACCGACATTCCACAATGAAAGCCTCCTTTGCTGGCTTGAGCTTGTTACCGTAAGATGTATGTGCTTCTCCTGAAAATATAAAATGTATTATTTTCTATTAATTTTATACTGTTGAACTCAGTAAAACAAATAATACAGAGTAATCAATCACTAGATCTAGATTTAATATAATATTAAAATAACAGTAGGCCTAAAAATAGTCCTAATGTCTAATACTAATCAAATAGTAAATAGTGCCTAACTTAATAATAATAGGCTCTACTGATTAATTAACCTGTTTAAGAAAAATTTATTAAGCTGCCTATCTATACTCTATACCTATACACACAAAGTATAGTTAGTATAGGCCAACTAGTCTAGATCTAAATAAAGATTTTAATTTTGAGATAAAAAGGGTAGCCTTTAGTTGGCCTATTTCCGTGTATTATGCCATTTGACTTCGATTCACATTAACCCTATCCCTACAACCCTATTTCACTGTATTCGACTACAAGGCGGGTCATTTTGACCCGTATACTTTTTATATAAGAATCTATTATTGCATATGTATATTTTTTATAGCATAACTATTATTTCAATGATAGATGGACACTAAAATTATAGTTTATACATTTCTACACTAAATTTTAGTTTTAGGTAATTTATT